GGAGCTTGCACAATACTTAACGTGTCTTATCCTCCATTAGTTTTGAAACCTCTTCACTAAACGGTCCACCGGCGTTTAGGACAGTCCTGCTGTACACCGTAAACTTATGTTGCTTTACACGATCATTGACAACGGACTTTACAACCTTTTCGCCTGCAGTGTTTTGAACAATCTCCATTTTTTCCACCTTGGCGTAGTTAGCCGTGGCTGCTCCATGGCTGGCTGCTGTCATGGCAGCCGAAAGGCATAAGCGAGAGTCATCCATCTGCCCATCATAATACTGAACGGATCCATACAATAACTCTCCTTTTTTGTTCGCGTACCGTATTTGGGGAAAATTTTTCATGGTGTCATAAGGGGTGAGGAATCCGGAATATTTAAGTGTGCCGCGTTCCCACATTGCTATCACATCATACAGCTTTGCGCCACACCAGAACATAATAAGATCGATCGGATCGTAACAGGGAATTATGGTAGGAATTTCATGGCATAAATGTGGTGCTTGGTGAATCATAATAGTGCGTTCCCTCAGTGCCTCCGCCACCAATTTCCATTGCTGTACATCAAGGTGAAAGACGGCCTTCTCAAGGTAGCGAATACCACCGTGGATCAGTTTGGTGCTTCGGCTGCTTGTTCCACTCGCGTAGTCATTCATCTCAACCAGGCCCACGCTCAATCCACGTGTCACGGCATCAAGCGCCGAACCAACACCAACAGATCCCCCGCCCACGATGAGTACATCCATCGGAGTTTCAGGGGAATCAAATGCCTTGAAACGAATCAAGCACTCCTCGCGGGAGGGATTCTCTGTACATAAAGGGGGAAGCGTCTTCCTGGAATCAAATCTTCGTCGTGTCCAGCTGGGATTCGTGTAACTAAACCCGATGAAACTCGCCACAGCGGCCGTGGCTGCTCCCAGACACTTTCTTGCAGCGCTCACCATGATTTTGATGGGAATGAACTGTCTTGGGGAGAGTCTCCTGTTATTTTCGTGTGCGTGTGCAGAGGTAAGGGAAATAATAATAACAACAATAAAAATAACAATAGTAATAAAAGCCAAGAAAAAAAAAAAAAAAAAAGAAGAAAAAAACAATAACATTGCAGCAACAACGAAAAATACAAAACAAAGAAGATGTACAAAAAAAAAAAAAAATCCCCTTCTCCAGCTGCAAAAGGCTCGTAAGGGAAGAAGTGGAATCAAAAGTCCAGTGTTAGGCTCAATCCAATTCCAAGCCGCATCCTACAGCACTTACAAAAAAAGAGGAAACCGCAACAAAACAACAACCGGACTCATTTAATCAAAGTTTGCAAAATACGATAAAGAAGACATCAAAAGTCAGGGCTGGAATTGTGAGGGAACTCAGTCACCTTCTCGGCCACCCTCAGCCATTTATGCAATATAGCAAGCCTGCACTATTCATTCGGCGAGTAAGTCATTTTCTCTCAACATTTACACTCCAATTAAATATCCTCGTTTTTTTTTTTTTTAAATCTCATCTCTGATTTACGTCTTGTTTTTCTGCCGCCTTACCCCTTCTTCCACTGCCTCTCACTCAGTTGCCGCGTGTGTGTGTGTGTGCCAGACGTATGAAGGCGCATTTCGTTCCCTTTTCGTTATTTTCGTTTCGGCTTAAAAAAAAAAAGGAAACGAGGATTGTCACGCCCAGCGTTTTGAGCGCTTGTACCGCGCCCCCGATGCCACGGTCTCTTGAACCCTACCGTCCAAATTCGCCCCGGCAGCTGATGGGTGGAGTTTTCCCGGAGGCGCTCCACGGGGGACGTCAGACGGTGAAATTACTGCCGAGGGCTCCGGGAAAAGTCGGCGGTCTGCTGAGGTGTGTGTGGCGGCTGCGCATGGCCACGACACCAAGTTGGACGCTCTCTCAGAAAAAGGCGATGATGGCCGCGCCCTGTAGTGGTTATTCATCAACTTCTTCCTCCCCCATTTCTCATCAAGAACGGCAGATGGCATGGGAGAGGTAGAAAAGTCATACGTCGGCACTACAGAAACGTGCACAGGGGTTTTCGCGGCCTGCTTAGGTCTTTTTCCCCAAAACTGCATAGGCTGATTCGTAGAAACAAAACCATTTATAAATGCCGCAGGAAAAGGCGTCTCGGGCTGCGCCCGCGATTCTCCCGAAAGCAGCAAAAGATGCGGGGTAGTTGAGCACTGGGTGTCAATTCCTGAGGGTGAGCGTGGATGATTCTGCAGGCCCGGCCCAATGTCGTGCGTTGTCGTAGAGAAATTTGTGGGGTTCATGTGTGACGAATGCGAGCGACCCTGCTGTTGTCTGACTTCCTTTGCCACCACGCCGTGCAGCGCCATCAATTGACTTACCCGCGCTCTCTCACGTTCCTCCCGACATCCGGAAATTCGGGTTGCCATACCCTCCTTATCCCGAAACCGTCGCTTGAAGGACTTCCAATAAGAGCGGTTCTTCTGCTCCAACGCTCGCCTTTCCTTTATTTCATCGCGTTGGATGAGTTCCATGGCCTCCATACACCTGTGTGACATCAAAGCCTCCCTGTAGAGAACCTCCAGCTGCTGCATCGCATGCCGTAACCAATAGGCACGCCACAACTGGCTCCGTTCCTCACTCTCCACACTTCGAATCTGTGCACGCCGGCCAAACTCCACGTCGAGCAGTTCCCCCAAAAGCATTGTGAAGAACAGCCGCTGTTCCTCTCGGAAGACACAGCGAAGCCCCTCAAGGTATAACGTGGCCTCTTGCAGCATACGCTCTCGTGCCGCCAAATCGGCATCCAATAAACACCGGCGTTCTGTTGACTTCTGCACCTCCCAGGATCTAATTAGTTCAACATGTTTTTTTAAAGCTATTTGCAGTCCCTGCGCCAACCGAATTGCTTCACAATGGATCTGCACCTTCTCTTCTTCGCACTCCTCATACAACGCCGCAACCCGCTGGGAAAACAGTGCCAGCTGTTCCTTGCGCCAACGCGCCTTTGCCTCCCTCAACTCGACGGAACGCTTCATGTACGCACGAAACTCTTGTGTGAGCAGCATGGCAAGTCGCCTGCACTTCTGTTCGCAGTGTTCGCGATTCGCGTAAACTCTCACAAGGTATGCCCTTCCACAGCTCTGCAGCCGAAGACATAACTTTAAAAGCGATTCGTTTCTCAGGCGTTCCACGATGGGGAAAGCCTCCGCCTTCATAAACACCTTCGTTTTCCCCAGTTGTGCAATGGACCGGCTATTTATACCGCACGCGATAAGGATCATTTGCGCCAATTTACGACCACTCTTTCCCTGAGCCTTGGCCCCAAGTATAATGTTATAGCGCTTGTTAAACTTCTCAAAGGTATTTCGCACAGGATATCCTGCTTTGCGTATTTTCACAGTTCCCAACACTCCGCTGGATTCAAGTTGTCGCATCGTCTGCAATCCGTCAAACATTAATGGTTTCTTCGCCGGGTGTGGCTTAATGCATCGGATCCAGTGAGGATTCGTGGTGTTTATGATCCCCATGAGAGCATCGAGTTGCCCTCGAAAGACTGCGCCAACGGTCAGTCGTTTGCCGCGTGTTTCAGGAGGTAACGGGGCCTCCAGAAACTCGCGAATGAGTGGGTCCTGTGAATTCCGCATCATTCGCTTCACGCCGTCTTTGAGGGTGTCACGGTTCTTCTCAAGCCAGCCATTCACGTCATAAGTGACACTCGCAGCGTAGTGATGAATAATGAACGTGTCACGACTCACCTTCTTCTTTTCAAAGAAGGAATTTTTCCCCGTATGTGCCTGATCCAATTTCTCAAGGAACGCAAGCTCGCTGCCCTTCCCGAGCGTACATTCCTCGTTAAGCAAGGCAAAAATACCGCTCTTGCCCACGATAAGCTGCAGACATGGGGAGTTGTCAGGGCATGCCACCTCGGTGACATCAATGCCCTCCTCGCGACATTCATTTATATCCCTCTCAAATATGTACTTGTTGTAGTGGTTTTGAAGTGTCTCGTTCGTCAGGTTGATGCAGAGCTGCTCAAAGCTGTTTTTTGTGAAGTCCTCAAATCCAAAGATGTCCAAAAGACCAATCCAGTTTCCCGACACCGCCACATCACACATCCGATTGCACTTGTCGACAAGCCATCCAAAGAGACCGTCGTACAGGGCCTTCACAAGGGCATCGCGTGCGTCCAGTGCAAGAGTTGGCCGCAACAACTTGATGGTTTCGTTCTTTTGCACAACCAGCGTTGTGGTTACCATCTCCTTCCGTAGTGTCGCCTCTTCTACACGCCAGAGACGCACAGCATCCTTTAGGTATTTTTCGGTTGCTTGTTGCAACTGCGCTCCTTCCCCATCTGCATCAAAAGTGACGTTCAGCAATGAAAGAATACCGCCGACGCACCTCCACAACGAATGGACCTCCTCGTCACTTATGCCAATCTTCGTCATGGCTCCAATGACTTCGTTGTATTCCTTAGCAGTATTGTACTCGGAGTTTTGTAGACACCTCCCCGCATTCAGGCTCTTGTACGCGGTATCGGCCTCAAGCCACAGCGTCTTGCCCATTGCTCCCCGGACTAGAAGGTAAAAACTGTGGTAGACACGCTCTTTCTCTGCGGCAGTAACAATGCGAGATTTTTCTAGCAAATATTTTGTTGTCTCCGCCCCGACGAGTTGGCCCTTCTCGTTAAATTTCACCCGCATGAACTTGCCAAAGCGGGAGCTATTGTCATTACGAACAGTTCGGGCATTCCCAAAACACTCCAAGATGGGTGAGCAGGCATCCAACTTCGCACCCACCTCGAGACTCCTCGCCTTTTCATCTTCCGTGCCTTCCTTGCAGGACACCTGCGCGAGATACTTCATCACAATCTTTGTCGTCTCCGTCTTTCCTGCTCCAGATTCCCCAGAGACAATAATGCATTGATTCACCCGATCGGAGATCATATCGTAATAAGTGTTGTGTGCCTGCGCCCAAGAGTGTGGCAGGTTCTTCTCAATCACAGGGCCCTCTTGCAGGTAATTCACCATTTGGCTGTCTTGGTACCACGGGATCGTATAGTTAAAGGGATTTATCGCCACCACAATGGCCCCAATGTTCGTATAGATGACGTTACGAAAATAACGAAGGTACAGGCAGCGTAGTAACGGGGCATCGTGCAGCACAGTGAGCGCAAGAAGATCATCCGGTTCTTCGTCCAGCAGGTCGTCCCGGCAGGCGGCGACGCGGTCCTCCGTCACATCACTAAACACCTCGCCCACACACTTCCGCTCACTGTCACTTGTCTTCACCACGTACCCCCTCGCATCCCTCGCTATGACGCGGGAAACAACCCACGACTCCAGGGGGTGCTTGAAGAAACAAAGAGAGCCTACATCAAGTGACATCTTCCTTTCGTGAAATAAAAAAAGAACAGCACACACACAATATATATATATATATATAAACAGCCAAAAACAACAACAAAACGTATGTACCGCAAAACCGGTAAAACATACGTGGCAACATAAATTAAATTGTACTTGCCAGGATCAGAATAAAAACCCTACAAGAACAAAAGTCATATACCTCAAAAGATAGGAGTGGGCGTAAACACACAAAGACATCATAGCTTTCGATGAATAAAGTGTAGTGCCCAATTCGAAAAGCAGCAGCATCGCCTCATGTCAAACACGATAGCAATCACTCAAACCACACTTGTTATTTCCAGCCGTCCATCAAAAAAAAAAAAAAAAACAAAAACGGAAAAACTGATGAGGAGGTCATCCTCATTTCTAGCCTCAATGGGTATCCTGTGAAGCGGCAAGGATAGATACAGCCACCAAGGGACCTGTAACGTTGAGGCGTGCGAGGGTTTCAGTGCGCTCTCCCACGGGCAAGTCCGCCGTTGGTGCAATGAAAGATCGTGCTCCACAACGGTGCAACCCACGGTCTTCTTTTATTGCGCATACGCGCACCCTACGCCTACTGCTCAGTGGGTTTTGTCTCATCAAACGCACAATCAGATGTATAATCAAAATCACACAAAAATAACAGGCACAACAAAGCATAATCCCAAGAACACTGTCAGTACAACAGGATTAGAAATTAAACGGGGAATGCGGCACACAGCCCGGGAAAGCACACTCCGGCACGACAGAGGAGGCGAGGTGGTGCACCGCGGCACAGAGAGACAGAGAGGGAGAAAGCGGCGGAGAGGGGTGTGGAGGGAAGGGGCGCGTCAGTCCCGTGCCTGTTGTAGGTAGCTGGGTGCACGGAGGTGTAACTCATCGTCACGGTCATACAAATGCCTCGATTGATCGCATCATGAAGTCGTCGGTCGCCCTGCGCGTTTCACGCCGTCGGTGCTGCTCTTGCGGGCCCGATTGAGACAGTCACGGCACAGAAATGATGATACACGGCCGCCGCCTCACCCACGGAGCACGCTCCACTCACGCGCGCACAGCGCTCCTTCCCCTCCGCGCAATGGCCGTGGGATCTGGGGCAGCACAGGTGCAGGCGAAGTGATCGTTGCAAGCACGGCGCCTGTGTTTTCGCTGGCCGTCAGCATCGGAGGCGGCACTCACACCGCAGAGGTGGTGGTGGCAGTGGGGCAGGAAAAAACGAACGGCCGGTCCATCCCGCGAGAGGGCAGCCGAGTAAAACATCCTAAGCAACAAGAGAGGCAACAAAAAGAAGAAACAGGCAATCGGGCAAGACCCGCCTCCACTCCAAAAACACAACACAACTACCGCCCCAGAGCACTGACAAATCCCCAGTGAGTCCAACAAGAAGGAAGTAAAACACCCGCATATTCATTCGGTGCCCGTCCACAAAAGAGAAAAAAAGAAAAACCTATTATCAGGTGCCTCCACCATCACCAAAAAAAAGACTTCTTTCAAAACCCTCGGCGCGTTTTAACGGGATGTCGCAATGCGCAATAATAATAATAATAAAAGAAAAATATTGGGAGATGGGGAAGAAGTCAGTTCCCTGCGCTGTCGCTCCGCCAACACGCCTCTGAACACACAGATGCACCACAGCCAGAGGGGATGCATGACTTCAGCACCGGTCATTTCCAAAGCAAACGTCCTACACACACCTTACATAATGTCCTCCGCCGGGCGGTGAGGCCAATGAGAAGTCACAGGCACTCTTGTAGCCGGGAGAGGGCGAAAAGAATTTGGCTCACCGCGGCAGAAAACAAAGCAATAAAAAACAAGAAAAAAAAAAAGAAAGAAAATGTCTGAGCTCCTATAGCAAAAGGATTCCAAGAGAGGCCCATGGAGCAGGGGAGGCGCGGTGTCGGCAACAGGTACGGGTCAGGGTGCGACAATCACCGTGCCGATCACAATGAGGAGGAGAAGAAGCGGCGCAGAAGTGACCGCCAAAGCGCTGCCATCATTATTTCTGATCATCGCAAGGTGTTTCGGGTGGCTTTCCACGTCGGTGCTGCTCGCATCACTGTGCTTCAACATGGTGAGGCAGACATCGCTGAACAAGGGGCATCTTATGCTGCCCGCCGTGAATGGCGCCGGGGGCGTCAGCGTCTGTCCCGGTGCACAGGGATGCCACTCCTCGCTGCCCCTGTACCGCACACTTAGCGTGCCCTCACCGCACCTCAACTGCACGCACACGTCACCAACAACCGTACTGCCCATCCGAAGGTTCTCCCCAGTCAAGCAGCGTGAGGACGGGCCAACAACGCTCCCAGGCATGATGGCCTCGTCGCCATCCATGCACCCAGTGCCATTCATTGGCGCGATGAAGGGGCAGTACTCCATCATGGCCCCTCGCCTGGAGCCCTGCTTGGTGGCGAAGTACTGGAACTCCGGTGGGATGTTATCGTCCTGGTAAATTGCGCAGGTCCCCAGCGACTGGCGATCAGACGTGCACCGCAGAGTGGCGTCGCTCGAGTCGGTGCAGAACATATCAGGGTACAGCGTGGCACCGTCCGTCACGCACTTGTCGGTCAGCAGCGCGCAGCCGGCTCCGCTGCCCCAGCTCATCGGCTCCGCCATCTCGAAGTTTGCCTTGTAGTAGCCGAGGTCGGTGAACAGTGCCATCGTGATCGCGGTGTAGTAGCCGGAAACAACGAAGCTCGCCATCAGCTCATCCTTCGCGTTCCGCCGCCCCCAGTGAGACATCAGGCCAAGCCACGAAGACGGCCTCCACTGCTTCTCCACCACCGTGAGCGTGGTGCCCGTTGAGAGGGTTCCGTCCGTCACTGCCTGCGTTGATGCGGAAATATGTTGGGCCGCACGCAGCGTGAGAGCTTGCGCACTTCCTGCTCCCCCCACTGGCCCCACTGGTTCCCTACCTCTTCCTCCTGCGCCTGGCCTACCCCTTTGCCCAGCAGCTCCTCCGCCTCGCAGGCCATATCCTCTTCCATTTTGTCCTGGTGGACCTCTTCCTGGTAGGTACATTGGTGGACCATTGGTAAGCTCTGATCTGCGCCCGGCATCGGGACGTCTAGGCCTCTCTCCTTCTGCCCTTCGTTCCGCATCTGTGACACGTCGAATCACCGGCCGACGTGGAACAGGTGGTGCAGCCGCTGAACCCGGCAAACTCGCCGGTTGTGTTGCTGATGGCGCAGATGGTTGTTGAACTGCTGACGATGGTTGTGTTTGTGATGTTTGTGGTTTTGATATTTGTGGTGGTTGCCCCGGTCCCGGTGGCGATGCTGCCGATGCTGGTTTTGGCGCGGGTGGTGGTGGTGGTGGTGGTGGTGGTGGTGCTTTCCCTCCTGGCGCTGCCGGATTCCGCATTGGCGGCGCAAACTCCAGCTCCATGCCCGGCGCTGACTCGCAGCCGTAGTGGAGCCTTGCCTGCTCCAACGTATTCCGGGAATTCACAACGTGGACACTGCTCCTCCCACGCACACCCTCCTCCCGCTTCACCAGCGCCTGCTCCTCCATGTCCGCCACAATGAAGCCGAGGGCGTGCGCCATCTCGTGCACAGCCACGCGGATGTGCTGCGACGTGTTCTCGATGTGGCGCGGGTTGTAGTTGATGACGCCAACAACAGGACGCCCTCGCGGGCCCAACGTCGCGCACGGCATCGCCCACGCAAAGGTCGGCTTGAACGTCGGAACAGCAGTCGCGTACAGCACCATGTCCGCATCGGGCACCCCATCCGTGTGGTGCTCCTCCGGCACAGGAAACTTCCCGCAAACACTGCCCTCACGGAACCTCGGCACGACCAGCGGGCCATCCAGCGGCCGCACCAGCAGACGCTCGCTGTGCATCTTCGCCGCCTCGGGAAGAATCACGTTCTCGAGAATGTCCACCTTCTCCTCCGTCAGAATGTCCTCCTCCTGGCAGACCATCTCCTTGCCAAAAAACATGTTTATATGCTCCCCGGCCCTGGTGCAGAATCCCCCCAACCCCTCCAGGTCATCCGCAAACACCTTGATTCGGAGGGGCGTCCAGTCACTGCCCACGGACACAGTGACAGGACTGGCCGGCTCCTCCCCGCCCGTCACCTCGCCAACGTTCCGTGGCAGGCGATCAAACACGCAATGGTGCGGCACCGCAATGACGAGGCCGCCACCGGTGCACAGCAACAGCAGCAGCGCGCAGCAAAGCTGGCGGAGCTGGCGAAGCATTGTGAGTAGCTTGTTTCTAGCGTTCAAAACTATTCCTGCGTGCACAGCAAAAGTGCGCACAAGACAACAATAGAAAAAAACAGGAAAAATAAAATGGCATCAACACAAACAGGCACGCGCAGGGCAAAAGCAGCAGTCGAGCACGACGCAAATCCGTCGCGGTCCTCTTTGCACTCCACAGTTGTGTACCGCACAATCATTTTGCGCCCAGTTTTTGGCACACACCCGTCCAAATGCCGCGGGATATCAATGGCTTTCAGTGCGCTCTCCCACGGGCAAGTCCGCCGTTGGTGCAATGAAAGATCGTGCTCCACAACGGTGCAACCCACGGTCTTCTTTTATTGCGCATACGCGCACCATACGCCTACTGCTCAGTGGGTTTTGTCTCATCAAACGCACAATCAGATGTATAATCAAAATCACACAAAAATAACAGGCACAACAAAGCATAATCCCAAGAACACTGTCAGTACAACAGGATTAGAAATTAAACGGGGAATGCGGCACACAGCCCGGGAAAGCACACTCCGGCACGACAGAGGAGGCGAGGTGGTGCACCGTGGCGCAGAGAGACAGAGAGGGAGAAAGCTGCGGAGAGGGCTGTGGAGGGAAGGGGCGCGTCAGTCCCGTGCCTGTTGTAGGTAGCTGGGTGCACGGAGGTGTAACTCATCGTCACGGTCATACAAATGCCTCGATTGATCGCATCATAAAGTCGTCGGTCGCCCTGCGCGTTTCACGCCGTCGGTGCTGCTCTTGCGGGCCCGATTGAGACAGTCACGGCACAGAAATGATGATACACGGCCGCCGCCTCACCCACGGAGCACGCTCCACTCACGCGCGCACAGCGCTCCTTCCCCTCCGCGCAATGGCCGTGGGATCTGGGGCAGCACAGGTGCAGGCGAAGTGATCGTTGCAAGCACGGCGCCTGTTTTTTCGCTGGCCGTCAGCATCGGAGGCGGCACTCACACCGCAGAGGTGGTGGTGGTGGTGGGGTGATAAAGCAGTGCTTTGGTGAATGGTATTCACAATAACAAAAGAAAATGATTATGACAAAATGAAATGCAACAGAACGTCTTTTTGCTTTATAATAGATAAGAACGCAATGTAGCACTTAGCAGAGAAATCCAAGGTGGTGCCTCGAAGCGTCATTAAGACGTTGTACCACGCAAAGTGTGGTGTGCTTTACTCAGTGATTCATGTAGAATGCGTTATCAGGGAGGATTATGGCAAATAATTCTTATTTTTGTTCGCGTTACTTGCCTCTCGTGTAAATTTGTTTTTAATAAATGGATCATGGAACTTTTTCGATTGTTGTTTTTTCGTTGTGATGATCGGCAGTCCGGTACGTGTCGCACGCAATTTTGCCGAGCTATTCAGTCTTAACGGTACTCCGCTTTTTGGGTTGGTGCTGCGATGGGAGATTCAGGAAAGATTCCTTCTCGCCTGATTTCGCGTTTGCCTGAAGTATGAGTGCAACACTGAGGTTTTTTTTTTTTTTCCCAGTTTCGCGTTCCACAGAAGCGCCGCAAATATGTCTCCGATCCTTTCCTGAGGTGTGTGTGTGTCTCCTCCTCCGCCTCGAGTTTCCGAGAAGAACAGAGAATGATTATGTATGAGGAGGCAATGTGAACGGACTTCACCCCAAGGGCCAATAAGATCACGATGAAGAGCCCCAGTGGGCAAAGTCAAATGGCAGAAAAGACGACAAATGGCCTCATGTCAAATCCCTCTTTGGGGAGAGCAACGATAAGTGGGAGCCTCGGCAAGCAGCAGTGTTTTGGTAAAAAACATGGTACGCTTGTGGCTAAGAGTTCTGCGGGGCAGCTACAAAGGACAGAAGCGAGTGCATATGCATGAGAAAAACAAACAGGGCGGAATTGGAAGAACGTGGAATGGAAGAAATAATAAATTATTATTATTATTATTATTTTTAATTACGAGTGAGTTATGAGGGTTTTCCAGAGAGTTATTCAAGTTTTCTTCACACATTTCTTGTTTGTTTGCGACATGTTTACAACAACATATATATATATGTATATGTATATATTTCATCATCGGCACAGCAACGTCATTCATGAAATATTTGAAAGACTTCTTGCAACTTCCTCGCCACGCCATCCTCTGAGCTGGAGCCCACCACCTCCAAATGTGGCAACGACTCCTTCAACCGTGACTGCCCGTTGCCCATGATGCACCCCTTCGCCACAGAGCAGAGCATATCCCCGTCGTTCATGCTGTCCCCAAAGGCAATGGCCTCTCGTTCGGGGTCAAATTTTAAAATCCTGCCAATCTCCCTAAGCGCCGCGGCCTTGGAGACCCCCGCAGCCATGACATCCAAGCAAATTTCTGACGACATCACAGCTGTGGCACGTCCATGAAATAGTTCTTTAATTTCAGCTTCGTACTGGTGCAAGATATCTCTGTCGTAGCAACGAAAACACACTTTGCCAACGCCAGTGGTGGGAAATTCCTTAAGAAGATCTGGATGCAAGTCGGGCACCACACCAAACATTGCCAGTGACTCCTCATCACTCATGATGGTACGATTTATCCACCACTTCTCCGTTTGGTACGCCGAAACAGACAAAACCTTCCGTGGATCGTCGCCGTGATCACGAATGCCAAATCGTTCGTAGAGAACCCTGACAATATCGCTGTCCAAATCGCGCAAGAAAATCAAATCCCCGTTCGGATTATGTACTCTTGCCCCATTGGAGGAAATGATATAAAAGCCTTCGTAACCGGTGGTCGGAGAGTCAGGGACACCCCTGGCCGTACTTCTCCTCCTGTAATGCTCAAGCAGGTCACGTCTTGTGGCATAAACGCAGGAGTGGTGTCGGCCTGTCGCGAAGATGATATGGACCCCACGCGTGGAAAGCTCATACAGTGTGTCCTTCGTCCGCTCGGTGAGGCGGTGCTTGGGGTCGAGGATCGTGCCGTCCATGTCCGTCGCCACGACGAGGAGGTTCCCGCCGGAAAATTTGCGTCGGCACTCGTCGCCGGATGATCTTATCTTATCGCACTCTGCCTGCATGGAGGTGGTCGGCATTGATGCGATGGCCTTCCTTCTCCCTTTCTTTTTGTGTTTGTGTGGCGAATTCACTTTTCCCTCTCCGCCTCACAAGTGAGAGGAACGCCGATGCACGCAACAGGAGGAGGAGAAAACAAAAATAAATGTGCCATGCGCATAAACACACACACACAGAGAGAGAGAGAGAGAGTGTGTGTGTGTGACAGAAAGATACGGGGGAAGGAGCAGAGGAGTGCCGCCTCCCCACGACAGCAGCGCACCACCGCAGCCGCCTCTCACGTTTCGCCTCACACACACACACGGAAAAAAAAACGAAACAAAAAAAAACAAAGGGTGGGGAAAAAAAAAATATAAACAGAAATAATAAAAGAACGAACGACAAAACAAAACCCTGCAGGAGGCGGTGTGCACGCAGCTTCGCAGTAATGAGTACGTTGAACAAAACATGTCTTTCCCTTCTCCCCCATCCCCACCGCCGCGGCACAATTCTTCTCTACAGACGTTGAAGAAGCCGTAATATATATATATATATATATATATATATTTTACTCGTTGAAAATGGCACCCTCGTTAGCGTTTCATTCTTCTATGTATTGCCCCTTGTGGTTCTGACGGAAGTACAAAAACAGGGAAGGGGGGAAAAGGAAATGGAGCCCGTCTGTTTCCCACAAAACCAATTGAGTTCTCCCACAATATCTTTCCTCACGCCACAATGGGCAAAAAAAATCAAAAAAAAAAAAAAAAAAAAAAAAAAAAAAAGAAGGAAAATAAAGTAAAAGTAAAACCGTAAGTATTCCTATTAGCAATTGGCTGCTCTCTTGATATGAAAATGTCAGCAGTAGCCGTTGTATATGTGTAAATATGCACAGCAGAGAATCGCGTAGTGTGGATTGTGAAACGGGTGGTACGCATGTAAACAGGACATCCTTTCCGGCAGGTGATTCGTTCAACTACTCTTTTATTCAGGTTGCGACACAATCAAACATTACTTTCTTCTAATGATAGACACAGAAAAAAAGAGCACGCACGTCATGCGATGATGGGGCTCTTATTAGGCGTGGGGGGCGCATAGCATGGACGGCGGTGGGTAAATAACATGCATCAAATTATTCCACATAAATTTGGTTCGAAATAAAGTGGCAAAGCTTGACTGCGTCCGCTGTGATTCACGACGCGTAGTGGACGTTAACACTAGAAGCAGGTAAAATACAGCCAGGCCCCCAACTATGAGCACAACGAGAAGTAACATGACAAAGAGCAGTATCAATACGAGGGACCTGAAAGTATCCTCTTCATGTGACTCCTGCGAGACCAAAGGATGCACGGTCCGATTATGAGAACTGTGCATAGCCTCCCGTCGTATCTGAGCAGCCGCAAAGGCTCCAGTAAACAAGGAGCGAAATATCCAAAAGAGACCCATGGCAGCCGCACTACTCACTGTCAAAAGATACAACAAGAACCAACGCAGACTCCTCTGACCAACACATCCACCAATGACGCCGCAGTGATGATCATGCTCCTGCACGCAGACGTTGCATTGATAGCAATGCGAGGTGCGTGGGGGGCGCCGCAGACCACAGACACGACAGAGCACCAAGTCACGGACGCCATCAAGTGGATCCGCCTCACCGTGACGAAGTCGTGGATACACGCCTGGATCAGTGCACGTCACCAAGAACGAGGAAACAAAAGCCGTGGAAAGGAATATAAACAAAATACAGAGCTCAAACACTCCTAGTTCCTTCCACAGGGTGAAGAGCACACCAAATACAAGTATTAGGGTCAACAACGTGGGAACGCAGAATATGGCGGCATCAGGGCTCCAAAGACAGGTAAAACCACAACATTTAACCCTTGTCATTTTACCTAGCGCTAAATTCGTGTCGTTGTATCTATTCTTTTCAGGCTCCACTAGCACTTCCACGGACTCCATTCATACCAGTTCCACCTAATCACTAAATACAAAGAAACACAGAGGCACGAAAAAAAAAAAAAAAAAACAAAAAAATACGTGTGGAGTAAAGGATGATATCACTGTGCATACATGAGCAATCCTCTTGTCAAGCGGGACTTCACAACTCCGTCTCTCTCTCTCTCTCCCTCCTCGCCCAATAAAGATGCAAGAGGAGGGGCGGCTGGCTGCAGCACCGGGTATCTGTACTGTTGGATCTAAATGCAACAAAAAACCTCTTCTCCATCACAACAGGCCCCTTCATTTATTATTATTATTATTTTTTTCTTCTTCTTCTTCTTCTTCTCCGTAAAACCCTTGCTATCATCATGTTTCACTTCCTGAGTTTCCTCATATTTTCTCCTCCGGGTGAATTATTTCTCTCAGCATCTCAGCACGCGAAAACGCTCTTCGCTTTCCTTCACTCGAGAAATCCCTGCTGGAGCATCCGTTCTCTTCACGGCGGGAGGGGTAAAAACAAAAAAAAAAAAAAAAAAGAGGGCAAAGGAGAAAGAGAGAAATAAATCACAAAAAAGCAAACAAATAAACAAACAAACAAAAGAACAAAAACAGATAAAAACAATATAAAAAAAGAAAAAAAAAAAAATGGACGGACCTCGTGCTGCTTTCTACCTTTTGCTCTTGTGTATCTATAAAATGCCTTGAATGAGGTCAGTGACCGCTGTGTGGCCCTACACCACCTTCGCGTAGGCCTCTTCGCGTGAAGCGTTATATTTGGCAACAGCCTTTGTGCCCTCGCTCATTGCATGCTTGGCGAGTTCTGGCGGCAGAAGCAGACGAGCAGATGTTTGAATTTCACGTGCCGTCAGTGTCTTCACGTTGTTTATGCACGCCACATGAACTGCTTCGCTCTGAATCTTGCTGTACATGTCCTCAATAAAGGACGAAAGCACACGCACGGCCGCCTTGGAAAGCGTCCCACGCTTGTAAACTTGACGCAGGGTCCTGTGGATGTACAGATCCCACCGCTGCTGCTTCTTCCCTCGGCGAGCGCCCCCCTTTTTCTTACCGCCCGAAGCCTTCCGCGTGGCGCTTGCAGGTCGCTTTCCTTTGCCTTTCCCGCCCATGGGAAGAGGCCGCTTCCCTCCTTTTGTTGGCGGCATGTGTCTTTTGGTTCTTCTCTTGATTCCCTTTTCCTTTTCCTTCTTCTTCTTCTATTATTATTATTGTTTCCCTTCGCCTTTCGTGTTGCCTCTTCACTGCCGCGGCAGGCAAAAAAAAAAAAGAAAAAAAAAACACCACAAAGAAATGAAAAACAACAACGACGCCGCACCGCAAACCCAAAAATCCCCTCCCCTCCCACCCCCAAAGAAAAGAAAATCATGAGTGAATATCCCAAACGAAAAGGGAGTTAGGGTTCAGTGGGGGTTTGGGGGTTTAGGGGTTTAGGGGGGGGCAGACGAACAACGATCACCCACTCGTTTTTGATGTTTCAAATCATCACAAAAAAAAGAAAAAAAATCAACGCCGGCGGGCCCACACTTCAACAACAACAAAAAAAGAAGAAGCCCTCCATGATCCCAACACCAATGACAACTTCACAAGAAGAAGGAGGAAAAGGGGAAAATAAAAAAACAAAAAACAAAAAACAAAAAACAAAATAATAATAAACAATAATAAAAGAGAAGTCAGGGGGAAATTTCTCTTGAAAACCCAAAAAAACAACAACAGCCAAAAAAGAAAATATAAAAAATAAGGCATTGCTCGTACTCCGCAGGGTAAAAAAAAAAAAAAAAAAAAAAGTCTTCCATTCTCCCTAACTCCTTTTTTTTTCCTCTCGCTCCCTCCCTTTTGATTCCCTCACACGCACCGGGCAAAAGTACAACTCCCGCATTTTCTCCTCTCTTCCTCTGTATATATTTATATAAAATAATATTCTTTCAAATTTATTCAATTATCACCTCTTCTTCAAAAAATTATATATATATATATAATTGGTTTGCTGGCGTTCGTCACCAGAAGTCATTGTCCCACCCACCTCCTTCTCACTGGTGGCTGCAGGCGCGCAAGCTCAGAACTTGATGCTTCTTCGTTTCCTCAGCGGCGGTTCAAGCCCTGAAACGCCACACCCGCCCTGTTCGCGGTTCCGCTTCTCAAACGGAACCTTCGGTGGATCGACGACGGGGGTGCCGGCCTCCAGCGCAGTCGACCGTTGCCGCCACAAAGAGAGAAGTCGGTTGCGGGCAATGCCCAAAAGCGCCTCACGCAAGTACACATATTCGCTGGGGGTATTGTAGACAAAGGCGCTGATGCGCACATAGAAGCGTCCCTCCACACGCTTAATAGGAACTTCCAGCTTATACACTTCATGAAGAAGGTCCTGAATATGTTTTGCCGTCAAAGGCGGACCTTGCAGCGCCTCTGGAAGCTCCACAAGAGACATAAAAGGAGCGTGCCGAGCCACCGGCCGCGTGCCAAAGTGATGTGTAAGCATGTTTGCAGCGGATTGGAGCAGATTGGCACAATGATTTCTTACACGATCGAGGCCCTGCGCACGCCAAAAATCAACCACCGCCGGAATGCAAAGATAGGCGCCGTAGTCACGAGTGCCGTCCCAGATAAATTCCGAAAGAAGACCATCACCCGCGCCATGTGAAATGACAACAGAGTGAAAAGAGTCCAAAAGTGAATTGTGAACCCACATAAATCCAACAGACTTGGGACTAGAAAACCACTTGTGAAGATTACCAACAAAAATACTTGGCTGCGACTCTGGCGGTAGCTCTTTAAAGTTTAAATCCAACTGCAATGGTGCGTGCGCCCCATCCACAATAATCTTTTTCACACCATGACGCCTCAGTGCGGGAATAATATGTGTAAAGACCGGTATGCAAAGAGCGGTAGTGGACGCAATGTAATCAAAGACGGCAGTTGTGCATCCGCTTGGTAACTGGCGGCATATTTCCTCCGTGAGGGCCTCATCGTTGCCCATGATGGAGGCATCATGCAAATAATTAAGAAGCGAAATCTCATGAAGGCTGGCACCCACATCATTGCAGCGGAAGTACATCATCTTGTACACGGAAAGATACTCTGTGTCGAAGAACACAACAACATCATCCTTTTCAATTAGTTGCATCGCACAGTTTAGCGCAAAGGTTGCATTTTGAATTAAGACAATTTGCTTGGCGTCAGCATTTATAAATTCTGCCAGCCGCCGAACACTGTACACAATAAGCGGCAACAGCTCTCGATCCATGTACTTCACCACCTGCTGCTCCATAAGATCTTCGTAGCCGTGTTTGATCGCCGCAGCGCCGCGCAGAGATCCTCCAAATGCGCCGTGGTTTATGAAGACAAACTCGGGTGTGATGGTGAAATGCTCGTGACGAAAAGGAAGACCGAATTCGCACAATTGGACCGACCGGTTCCTTATTTCCATCTTTTCCTCTTCATTCCTTGCCGTCTCAACCTGACGAAGATCGCTGCGCCCCAGCACCCTTTTCGCAAAGGGCGGCAGCGGTGGGGGGCGGTATTTTCCATGTTCTCTGGCGACGAGGCCCTCGACATTTTCAGAGTGGAAGGAGCCAAACCCCTCGTAGGAAGAAATATCCATCATAAAAGCAGCGTCGTCTAACGTGTCCAAACGTTTCAGGAACTCAGGCGGAATATTAGAGATAAACCACTTGCTTGCTTCGTCATCCGACGAGGGCTCGGGGGCAACAGTTTCCTCCTGCATGGAGGCAATACTAAAAATATAACAGGCTTCAGCTTAATAAAAAAGTACCTTGTGTGGTGAGTGGGGTGTAAGAATTTATCGATGATAGGATATAATATAATACTAGATAAATGTGTTTGTATGACAATGCCACACAAACAACTGGTCCTCCAATATTTTTTCAAGCTGCCTGTAAAGGGGGGGAAATAAAAAAAAAAAAAAAAACAGTAAAGAGGATGAAACAAGCAAAGAAACACATAAAAACCACAAAATAAAGAAGTATATCTGCATACATACATGCATACACATGATACATACAATTACGTGTATTCAATGATTTTAGAGGCCAACAAAAACAACAACAAGAATCGGTAAGAGAGAAGGTTCTACTTCATACAGGAAAATAACAAGACACAAATCTATGAAAAACGGAAAATCGGTTTCGGCGTTGATTTTTTCACGGTAAGTGACTTATTCAAAGCAAGCTCTTGCGCAATTTCGTGTACATGCGGTGGTGCCGGATGCACCTCTGGATGAAATGTAAGTTGACTTTCCTCCTCTCGCTGCCTCGCCTCGTATTCCGCACGAATGGCAGCCGCACGCTTCCGAGCATTTCGCTGCAAGTACTGTTGAATGATCTCATGAGTGACATCGCCACCAAAAATTGTTTCTGTAAGTCTACGTGAGCCGATGCTGACAGCTGGTTTTCCAGAGACCGCTTGACGCTCCATCGCCTCATGTTCGGCGCGCAGTTCCTCCAGACGTTGCTGTCTTCGCAGTTCAAACAGGCGTAGGTCGTTCAAACTCCGCTTCATGATTCGGGACCTGTTGTTGATGTGCGGAGACGGGCGCACTGACGCGGTGGGAAAAGACACCTCTGTTTCAGGATCCCCAGAGCCGACACTCGTGTGCCGCAATTGTGTTTTGCCCCCACTCGCCTCTCCACGAATGCGCGGTGCCACAACCGACGGAGTCTTTCTCCTACAGGTGCCAGGCGCCAATTTTGGTCGAAACGTCAGTTCGGTGTTGTGCATCACAGCAATTCGTTGAAGATTCTTTTCGCGACGCTGATTTGTTTCCTCTAGGCGTTGCAGAAATGCCTCCGTCAGCTGACGGTCTTTTCCGCCTCTCTGAACACCCCCGCACTCCCGCGGCTTCTTCTCTAATTGCTGCCGCCCCCGTCGCTGTGATGACGCTGACGCCGTCCGGCCCAGCCGTAAGTGAACCGGCGTGCGAAGATATCGGCTCAGATGGTCCGACAGGGATGAAGTGCGCAGTCGATTTGTCACGGGTCTAAACTGAGACGTCTCTGCCGCGTCATCCTCCGCATTGAGCTCCCGTGATCGCCGTGTCGAAGCCTCCATGTAGCGAGCCGCCACTTCTGTTGAGTTGATTTGCGGGCGAAAAGTCAACTCCTCTTCCAGTTGGTTCCGGTACCACGCTTCCCGCTCCCGAGACCGCCGTGCGCTGGGATACGCCAACGGACTACGGTTCCCTGCAGGACTTGATCGGCTACGGCAATGACGGAGGCGAGCACTTGACACGGACTGGGATCCGTCTATTCTTATGCTCGCTCCGCTGGCGTTGCGGTGCAGCGCGTCATAATGGAAGCGGCCTCCACCTCCACCTCCACCCTTCACGCCCTCCACTGCCCCGCTGCCCTCAGATGGAGAGGAGTGACGGTGGTAATAGAATTGCGATAGGCACTCTTCCTCTAATCTACTCTGCAGCTCAGCAAAGGCCTCCTTCTCTGCGTCCGTCATTATTAAAATCTCATCGTCAAATATGGAGTTCTCATCGTCGCTTCCCTCGGGTGCGCAATAATAATCCCCGAGTACAGGGCTGCTGCCACCACCACCACCACCACCACCTTCTCTTCCCCGAGTAGCGGCAGAACCGCGGCCGCTCGTGAACGAATGGGGTGAAATCCACCCGTGGCGAGCCATCACTCTTTTCTCTCTTTCTCTGCCTCTCTCCCTGAGTGTGTGTCTTTCAAGAGTAATGAGTATTCAGAAGAGCATTGTTTCTTAGCATGTAATTCAACACATCTGCATGCGCCGGGAGGACGCCAAAAAAAAAAAAAAAAAAAGAGAAAACACCGTCACCGCAGAAGCAACCAATTCATCAGCAAAAGCTGTCTCCTAGTCGCTCGTTGCCGCCTCTCATACGTTTGATTTTGACCGAGGCGGCTGCTAAAGATATCTAAGAAGATAAAGAGTGCAGTACCACTTGTTTCCCAATTATCAAGTAAAGCAATATACAAAATAAAGGCAATAAACGAAGATAAAAAAGAAAAAACAATTCATTTCTCATCATTGGAGAGGGAGACAGTTGTCCTCTGAGTATCACAGCATTAGCGTCGACTGGATATGAGAGACATATGCCGTCCAGGGAATGAGACAGGCGGCAGCGCACACCCCACGCGCGTGCCTCGCCGATGCATAGGCAAGAAGGTACAGTGGCAAGTAGACAAACCAAGAGGCCACAAGCGTCAATGGCAGCAAATCTGACAAAATGCGCTTTTCCACAGACATGGCGTCGTAGCGGCCTCCCGTCTGTGCACTTGTCTCATGTGCGCGGAGAAAGCTCGGGGAGGTGAAACCTCCACGGCAGGCAGTGATGGCGTTGTGGTAAGCAAGCAACGTCAATGGCGTCATGAAAAATTGTTGGACCGAAAGCGTCATAAATGCTGCAAGCATTCGCCTCTCTGTATGGCCCAGTGATCGAATACACAACCTGCGATACTGCACAACAAACGGAGATATCGCTAGACCAAATGCCGCCGAAAGACCCACACGGGGCTTGTCTAGCATCTCCGCCATTTGCCCTGCGGAGGGTCTTTCGCCACTGCGCTTTTCCCCTCTTTCCAGGCGCCTTTGCGCCGCCTCGCGGTGGGCGTGGTAGAACTGCGCAAAGAAATCGCCCGCTGACCATACAGCGACTGAGATCACCGCCTCGCGAAGAAACCCCGTCGTCATGATGTTAACAAGCGTGCCTCAACAACGGTTCTGTCAACAGTAAGCAAGCGCCCAAAAATAAACAAAAAGAAGAAAGTGGAAAGGAAAAAAAAAAAAAAAATGAGGCAAAAAGGCAGAGTTATAAGAGAAAATTTGCGGTCTGGGGTGGGGAAGTGCCGGATGCCAGTCATACACACACAAATACACATGTATTGATGTATACATATACATATGGTGATGGGAAAGAAGGGAAAAGTGGGAACAACAGGTAAACACAGGACACACAACAAGGACAACAGACCAAAGCAATATAACAGGGCTCAGCACACCCCGTGACTGGAATGAGCACGCAGATATAAAGAGAAAAAAAACAAAAAAGAAAAATAAAAACACACCAACGATGAGTTCCCACCTCCACTTTGAAGAAAAAAAAAAAGGGTACCACTGGCCCAATGTTTCTTGAATTCCGTGTTTTTTTTTTTTATTTACTTTCACTCTTTGCGTGTTGATAATTTTGTTGGTTTACCTTCGTTTCATTCTAATACTCCCTTCCCTTTGTTCGCCATTTCCCCCCTTTTAGCTCGCGAGCAAATACATCGTCTTTTTCACTCCTCAAACCTCACCGACTAATGCATCTCTTTTCCCCCCTCTGAGCGACTTCTCGTATTCCAGCAACATATTCATGAATCCTGGGTTTGGTTGAGCAGCAGGTCGTGCCTCTCGGATAATATCTAGGGCCTCATCTCGCGTCACGTTGTACCGTCTCATGATATACGCAGCAGCCACAGTTACGGAGCGAGAAAGACCCGCAAAACAGTGGAGGAGAATACCCTTGTTTTCCTTCCGAGCCTTATCAATAAACACAAAGGCCTTCTCAAAGAGTAGGAGGATATTCTCACCGGGAATGTCTTCTACTGGCAGCACAAGATGTTTCATGCCTGGATCCACTCTGACATCCAGGTCCCGTGCAATGGTGAGGATGTAGTCAATATTGAGGTCACGGTAGACTGTTCTTGTCTGTGCGGTCCGGAGAGAGCCAAGATACATAAATCCCAGCACCTTGTCGGGATAAATCTTGTGCAGTACCACTTCTAGCCATGGCAATGCGGTGCGCCAATCCTCTTCCTCCATCTGTCTCACAAAGCGGGGCCTGTTGTCCACTTTCAGAATGACACGGCTATCACCACCACCCTTTTTGTTTTTTTTGTGGCGCTGCGCAATGGCCGATTGGAATAGGCGATCGCTGGGCACGGGCTCTTCTAACATCCCCTCATTCTGCCCAAGTAGGACTTTATTCAGCAATGGGCAGTGTGTAAAAAACTCCGTCGGAAATTTTTGCAATTCGTTGAACTCTAAGCCCACATAATTCAGAGCGGGCAGGAATGTTCGCCCCTCTTGGCCCACCGCGTCAAAAGGCAGCGTGGCAATATCATTGTGGTCCAACAGCAGGACCTCAAGGTTGGGCAACTCAAAAAGTGACTTGGGAACCGTCTTCAGTTGGTTGGAGTTTGCGTCAAACCTGACGAGGTGGCGGCATTTTTCTCCCAAAAACATTTCCCCGGGCAGCTCTGTGAGTTTGTTATCGGAAAGGACGAGGGTCACCAGCAAGTCAAGAGGCAAGTTCGTGGGAACTTGAAGCAGCTGCAGCTGCGAGAGATTACACTCGCCGCTATGTACACAACTTTGAAGTTCCTCGGCAAGATCACACTCCACCTCGTCATAGGCGGGTGGAAGAATTTTCCTCGTCTTTAGAGGCGGGGCACGGGGCGATGACGATGACGAGCTGCGAAAAGAACTCACATCAGAATCGCAATCCACACGCAGAAACTCCGGGGAACGCATGGAAAGCAAAAAGTCAAATTTGTCCATTTCCCTCCCCCGTTTTCCCGGCCTTCCGCCACGTGACGCCGTCTGTCCAATGGAGGCGGATGCAGTACTAAAGGGCCTACAAACAGGAAAAAAAAAAGAAAAAAAAAATGGAGTATGCAGTAAAAACGGTAAAGAAACATCCGCCACCACGGCAGTCCGTCCTTCCCCCATAAGGTGAACACACAGGCAGTAAAGAAAATTACCGTTTGCCTGGCAAATCAAACAGTTATATATATGTATATGTATGTATGTATTTACACATATATATTATTCCTTCTCATGAGACTGACTTCTTCTTAGTTGTTGAGTGGGAATTAGGAGCGAGCACGGGGGGCAGCCAATCGACGACGAATGGCTTCTCCTCGCTGCGCCTTGTCCGAGGCAAAGTTACACCGCAGCGTGACACCATCCAACTTGTACGCATCCAAAAGCTTAACGACTTGCTCTGCAACTTCCTTTGACTGGAGCGTCACGAACATGTGGCGGTGCTTCACCCGCGGCGGCGCTGGAAGAAAATCAACCAAATCCACAACGGCGACGCCCACACTACCCTCCTCCCTTTCCTCGTCCGCCTTATTCGCGTCCTCATTTTTCTGTGCACAGTACGCGTCAAACACGGAGCTCACAAAGTCCTTCACCTCCTGTACAGTGAACCTTGCAGGCACATTGCCAAGAAAGACCGTCCTTCCTCGTCGCTCCTTTCGCATACGCCAAAAGGTTCCATTTTTAAACTTTGGATCATGTCGCAACGTTTCTCCCCGCGTGGGAGACAAGACGTCCGTCCCCGCCTCTGCAGCCTGCATCGCGGTCTCAGTTTTAGTTGCGGTGGTGTTCTCCTCCTTCCCCACTGCCGCGTTGAGCCTCGCCAGCTGCCGTTCAAATCGCTGTTTGGCCTCAAAACGCTTGCGCTCCTTGCGGCTCATCCCCGCCATCGACTCGACCGTCTCTGCAGCCGCCTCCACAACTGCGACGTTGCGGGGGCGCTTCCTTGCCGCCGTCTCTACTCCCTTCTCCGTCTCTCCCGCTCCAAGCGGTAAGTGGGATTGCGCCCCATGACAGGCGAGCAACGCAGCGTCAACGGCCGCATCTTCAGCCTCGAGCCTGCGATGCTTCGACTCGCGTCGAGCCTTTTTTCGAAGAACCGCGCGACTAGGCATTGCCGCGCCCTTACGAGCTGCAAGAAGAAAAGTCTCAACCAAAACAAAAGAAGAAAATAAATATGAGAACAACAAAAAAGATTGCACAAGTTTGTGTGTGTGTGTGTGTCAGAGATTGGGGAAAAGGCTGACCGGTTACTACAAGAACAGAAAAAACAAGCAGAGAGAGAGAGAGAGAGAGAGGCGCAATAAATAATAATAATAAAAAATAAATAAATAATTTTCTCTCTTGAAGTCTTCCCCGATAAAATTGGCTAAAAATATGAGAATGCACACCAAAAAATAAAATAAGGACATGAGTGAATGCAAATAGAAAAAAAAAAAAAAAAAAAAAAAGAGGTCTCACGCACATTAGATGGCGGTGGTTGAGGAACACGTGCGCCAAAGAGACCACTACTTACAGCTATACCCGGCATCTGCTCAATGTTGTCGCTAATTTCCTCGTTTCCTTATTTATTTATCTTCTCTTATCGCCCAAGTGAAAAGGCACCGATAATAGCATAAAACATCGCCATAAAAGAAAATGTGAAAAGTTCAAATGTCATGATTTTCTTTTCGTTTCTTTTTTGAAAAAGGAATGTGTTGGTGGGAATTTTGCCAGTTCTTTGGCGGTGGCAGATGTACACATTTTTATTCCGTTTCCCCCTCCCATTCTCGCCCGTGCCTTACGTTCTACACTCGATACAAATAAAATAAAATAAGATAGATAGATAGGTAGATATGTATGTGTACTACTCGCGCTGAAGGAACAGCATATTCCGCTCCTCCTCCGGGAGGCTCTCCAAGAGGGCATCACGCTTCTCCGACTCTATTTCCATCCGACGACGGCTTGATGCGGTGAGAATACCCTCGTGGCGTTTGTCTGAGATGAGAAGAATAATGCTGGCAATCAGAGAAACAAGAGCCGCGGCAATAAAAAGCAATTCGGTCATCTGATACCCTTTCAGCGTGGGAAGACCCCCATCCTTCTGCCCACCCCTTGGGGAGGAGGAAGAAGAAGAAGAGGAAGAATTGTCGTTTTGCGCATTTGGTATGTACTCGTCAAGTATGCTCCCCACAATGATAGGGAAAACGGCTAATCCGGTGTTCTGCAGACTTGTCATGATGCCGTAGGAGAAACCCATAACATTTTCGCCCACGACCCAAGGAATAGAAGGCCAGAGACCAGAGACAAGAACACTGTAAGCAATTCCCATAGCGATCGTCATTACAATACCAGGAATCATAGTCAAAATCAGAAGCACATGAAGAAGAAGAAAGCATCCACTAGCCGTAATTAGCCAAAGTGTGTTACGCCCAACATTATCCACAAGAAGTCCAATCAATGGCGAGCCTGCAGCAGAGGCAAATTGATATGCCGATATGTAGCCAGAGGCCTTGTCAGAGTTGTAACCGTATTTGACCTCAAAAAAGTTTTTGCCTACACCAATAAACGGAAATATTGCGGCGTAGCAGAAGACGCAAATGGTGCTGAGGATCCAGAAGGCAAACGGTAGCCGCAATGCATCGGAAATCTTCATGACATTTTTATTCTCCTCCTGTGGTGCCGGCCTGATGTATCCGATTCGCACGGCGTATATGTCGGCAAGAACCAAAATAAAACAGGAGAGAAACGAAATCAGACAAGAAAAAATGCCAACAAGAGCGGCCATTTCAACGCTCCACGCCTTTGCAATTTTGGGCGAAAATAAAAAGTTAAAGGACGATCCGACACGTGCAAAGCTGATTGTAATACCGAACGCCAGTGCCATGCCACGTCCATGCTTGAACCACCGTGCGACATATGCCGACTGCGCCACCGAGAGGGACTCGCCGCCCAATCCAAAGAGGACACGCGCAGTTAGCATCAGTGGATACGTGGTGTAATAAACGCCCAACCAAAAGAGAAAGGCACCAAATAACACCAAAAAGGTGAAGAGAAGCATCGCGGTGCGGATCCCAAGAAACTTGTCAATTAAAACTCCCCCAAATATAGCCAGAACCGTGTTTGGCCACGAGTACACGCTATATAGCAACTGATTCATTTCCTGCGTGTAGACCTTGCCCCGGACCTTGAAATGTTGCTCGAGGGTTGCTCCGCTACCCGTGCCTATGGAGCCCGGAAAATCAAAGATGTAGTAGCTGCCAAACGTGAGAAAGCATGCCACAGCGAGGACCCTCCACCGCAGCTCCAGCAACTCCTCCTTAAGAACTCCACAACAGCCCCTCTCTTCGATAATATCACCGTTATCAGAGACGCGAACATCCATCATTGCTGGCGGATATTATTGTGTTTGTGCGCACTGAGCCCAGCCCAGCTTTCTAATACTACTGCAATTATGTTGTGTTTGCCTCACCGCAAATTTTTTTTTTTTTTTTTCCTTTCTTTTAAGCAGTCTTCTTTCTCTCTCGATATGTAATTATATGTGTATATTTCACTTAGTTTTCCTTTGCTTCTTGTCGTGTGCAACGCAAAGAGGAGACACAGATGAAAGGACACGGTGGGTGGAAAGAAAGAGAGGAAGGGACAAAGGATAAAGACCACCGGCAACACATGATGGGGAAAAAAAAAAGAAATTCTTCCCTTCACACATGTAGTAAAGAGGGACATGCAGTAGGCATCGCGTATTGCGCACCAAACACGCATCTCAACGCTTTTATGCCGAAGCCATAACAATAGCAACAGCCCAATTCAATGTACAAAAGAAATAAAACCAACGGGTTACGGTGGAGAAGTCTTTGCACGTCTATCGCTGGTGGCAAAAGACCGCACCGGGCAGGATTGCCATACTGCTCCGCCCACACATCAATGGCGGCTGGAGTGTCTTGACTCTGGGCAAATTATCATGCGAATGCAGAAGCCGGGGATGGCGCGGCAGTGCGACCCTTTGAGAGAGCTGACAGTCATGTGCTCTCCGCCCCATCCACCCGGTCCTGAGGAACGCAGGACTCGTCCTTCAGGCGGCAAGAACGCACACTCGCCTGCACGCTCCTGTTTAATTGCATGAAACGGAACTCGTAAAGAAATACATTCGCGTGTGTTTGTGTGTCTGTCTGCCTCTATTGGTACATGCATGCACAACAGGGAGAAATGACAAAAGAAAAGTGGGAGAAAAAAAAAAAAAAGAAAAAAGAAAAAGTCGCGAAAGGGAGATTTCATCGGCAGGGATAGAGAGAGAGAGACACAGAGAGAGACAGAGGGAAACAACAACAACCATGTATGCATGCAGCGGCTGGAGCCAAGTAAAAGTGAAGTCCATTCATCGCACGCGCAGTTTTTTTCCTCTTAACGTACCCCTTTTCTCCACAGCATGTGTGAGAAACAAAACAACACACATACATACATACATAAAAACATACAGAAAAAAAAAAAAAAAAAAAAAATAATAATAATGCTATTTGGTCGTCGTGCGCCATATATGCATTAGTGCTCTTATTGGAACCTTCCGATGGGAAAAACAAAAAAAAAAACAACAACTCACCCAAGGCCAATGGCCACCCCAAGACGCAGGTGGTTCCAGCGTTTTGCACCCGTAGACCTTCGCCCTAACGGTCCACACCCACAACACCTAAGAAAACCCCACAAACAACAACAAACAAAAAAAAAAAAAAAAAGAACCCGGAGCTCGCCCATAGAAAACACTTAACATCCCCAATTCATTTCTCCACCCTATTTTTTTTTTTTCGCGCTACTTATTTCTTGCCCTCTTCCATATATACATACACCTGCGTGTAGACATATATACCATATATATTTATATTTATCCCTCCGTTCCGTTCCCTTTTCACATTGTTTCAACCTTCTCACTCCCCATTTCTTGCTCTCTCTCTCTCTCTTTTTTTTTTTTCTCATTTCATTTAAGCATTTATTAATTTTGTTTCCGCTTTTTTCTTTAAGAAACCACTACTTCTTATTTGGATGCGGTTTCTGAATCCGTCGGCATGGTCGCGGAGCCCAGAACTCCAAGGTAGCCGTCGTGTTTGAGAAAGTGGGCATGAGATTCTCCCTTTGACCAGTACTGCAGTGTTGAGCTGATGTGGCTCCAAATAATCGGGTTGTCCCGTACAAATCCGCCCGCAAAAAATATATTCTCAACATTCTGCACGCGGCTATGCAGGTACGCCAGTTGCGTGATGTTGGCAGAGATCATATTCAACAGTGAACGCACAATGTCGATTGCAGACGGCTTCGTTTTCCCTTTCCAAAGGGACGTAGGGGAAGAGACAGTTGGAGATGGCAGCGGCGAGATCACATTCCCGTTGTCATCACCCGAGTTGCGTCTCAACGATCCCCCCGCCATCGCTTCGTAGAATCGATCTGCACCAAGTTTGCCAAAACTGCTGGCGACGGTGTCGACGGAAAGCATTGCTGGAAGGTCATGCGCATTGTAGCCGTAGATATCGCCAACCAGAAGGTCAACGTTTTTGTTGTCACCGGGGCCGTCAAGACGCATGATCTCCAGAACTTCCTCCCACGAGGTTACATCCGTCATGGTGCGCACAAGCCCCCAGAATGTTGCTCCACCAATGGGACTTCCCCCAACGCGAACATGGGAGCCATCCGGGCCGAGGCATTTGATGATTGAAATACCGGAACCAATGTTCACAAGCAAACACGGAAAGGGAGAAAGCGTGTCCCCGGGAGGGCTTCGCAGCTTGTGTGGGTAGTGAATTCCAGTTGTGGGGTCTACCGTAAAGATGGACCATGGGGCGGAGCGAATAAGAAGAGTGAGTCCATGCACCACCGAGTCCATCTCCCGCATAACCTCAAAAGAAACGTGAAGCCTTTTTTTGGCAATCGAGGCGTATTTAAATGCACCACCGCCAGTTGCTCGTATGCTCTTGCGGAATGCCTCGGCATAAAAATTATGGGGCTTATTTTTCTCCAAATATGCAACAAAATCGGGAATGCGTTTCGATGGCACCTTTGCAAAGCGCACTGTACCAACGCTGGAGGAACGAAGGCCTTGTGGCTGCTCCTCCAACACGGGAGCATCGGCAAAGAAATGGAAGGTTCGCAAGCCAAGTCGCTCAGAGAGGGAAGATGATTCATGCACCATGTAATCAGGGATCTCAAAGAAACCGGGAGGCTGCACGTAGAGAAATTTGGCAAAACTTCCGCCAATATCAATGGCCGCAGGAACCTGAAGTGAAAATTGCTGGTCATGGGACAACGTTCCCGCACAGTCAATGTCGCTACTGTTGCCACTACTGGTGTAGCACGGTGTCGGGCTGAAGGTGGATTCTGTGTCCGAGTAAAAGCGCTCAATGACAGATGTGAAGTACCGGGTCACACAATCGCGTCTTAGTTTTCCGTATGGCGTAAAGAAGTTTCCATGGTCCTTGAACGAGTGTGGGTGGGGGTGCACGTACTCTGGGACATTCGACGCCTGAAGGCCGTTCAGTTTCGCGATGCAAGAAAAGTCCGCAAGCAAGAGTCCAGACGCGTAGCGAGAAAGCTCAGTCCAGCTGAGCGATGCGCTGCCTGCACCACCCTCCGCCTCTCCATTGTTATTGACACCCATCGAGTGCTGCTGTTGCCATTCAAATTCCACAGTGTCACGATTTGGAGACACGATGGCGATAATAGGTCGCGATGGTCGCGCGTACAGGAAAATATCGTTCACATATCGCGATTGGGCAAATATGCGCTCCAGTTCCGCTGCCACAACATATTCACCCTTAAGAGGTAAAAGTATACCACCCGGAGGTCCCATTAGACGCAGTGTCCGCTGATCGTTCCATTTGGCCGCGATCGGCAAAGTATGCTTTGCACTGCGACGCAAAAGAGTCAACTGCCCGAACGTGTTCTTCGTGGAAGGCTCATCAAACGGCTCCAATTCCACCCGCACGCCGGGTGCTGGGATGCCATCAACGCAGAAAACGCCTTCGGAGGGTATAAAAAACACCTCGCGCAGGCACGGCGCGTAGCAGACCGCAATGTGTTCCTCCAGCCGATACGACGTGCTTTCCTCCGATACGCACAGCACGACTTTTTCCACGCAGCCACCCAGAAGACGTTGAGTGGAGCGAAAAAAGATAAGACGCAGCACCGGCGAATCCCGACGGTGCACGTTGATAAGGACAGAGCGCAGCTGGAACGCCTTCTCGAACAGCCAGGAGTAAACGCACCCGTATCGCTCATTTTTCCGTTTTAGTTGCGTCTCACTTGTGGCAAATAAAGAGGGCACAGCCAACATGATGGTCGGACGAAAAACTGTAAATGCCCGTCTGCTGGCACCCTCCGACGTCGCCACAGAACTTCCGTGTGCAAAGAGGCCAAGAACAAAGATGCGGTTAAACACCATCGAGAACGGTGTAAAATGTACAACGAGATGCTTCTTCCGCGATGTAGGCAAGACAGACGTGGCGACTAGAGTGCAAATATCACGAAGCACATCCGCATGAGTCATACGAACAACACTAAGAGAACTACCCATGTTGGTGGTAGTGGTGTCTACAACCAACGAAAAGACCGTTTCGCTGGCAACATGCAGCGGTGGTGGTACAAGGCGTAATCGACCATTGTAGCAGACCCCATCGTACAAGAGAAGTGTAATACCGAAATCTCGTGCCACGGCATCATCTTCCGCATCGTAAAAAGAGTGCACATTCACCACGGTCTCCAAATGCCGAGAACGACAGGTTAGAATAGACGCCACATTGTTTCGGCTTGCAAATACAACCTTCACATTATGCTCATCAATGAGGGTTCGAAAAGCATTCCCTCTCCCTACCAGCGTTAGTGTTGTAAAACCATACATTACACAAGCAATCTCAAGAATCACAGCTTCCCTGTTCGCCTGACAGTCTACCCCAATCACATCACCCGGAACAACGCCAAGAGCACATAGTCCGGAGCCAAGTTCCCGCACCTTTGCGTCTACATCCGCGTACGTAAGCCACTCAGATTCTCCTGACTCTTTGTTCTGCCCCAAACAGCGTAACATACTGTGATGCTGCACCGTTTTTTGCCACAATTCCGCAAGACTCTTAACCCCTTGAAGGGTTTTGTACTCCTTTGGTTGATTTAATGTGACGGCCTCTTTGCCCTCTACAACAGCGCTTCTCACGGTAGCAAATTGTCGCTCGTTACTTAAAGCATGAATACGTGAAACGAAGCACCACAAGAGAAACCATACGGCTCCCAGCACACAGAGTGTGAGGGAGTTGAAGTACATCGCAGCCCAAGCCGTTAGAAGCAGAGGAATAAATTGCATTTTCATGCTTAAAAGAGGATTGGAGTGCTCATGTACAATCCCACGTGACATAGACGTCTTCAGAAGAGGACGCGTTGAGTTTTTGTGGGGTATCCTTTGATCGCTAGCCGAGACGCAAAGTGTTGCTGACACACCAAAGTGGTCAGAAAGGTATACATACGGGCTTCGACTACTTGCTATAAATTTCTTGATGCATGCCATACGAACATCCACCGCAGGGGTAACAAAAAAAAAGTCTTGTCTTTGCGGCGTCAGTGAGTCTCGGTTCAGTTTTGACTGCGACGGGAAAAACAACTTGGATGGGCGGGTCGAGGGGTGATACCCGTGCGTGTCGAGAATGACTTCACTCAGCCCGCCTCCCAGTGGCTGCAGCTCTTGCATAAGTTCCATGAATATCTTTGTCGGCTTGCCTCCGTTGTGGGGATCAATGCCATTGATGTTAAAATCCCCAGCCACCACAAGTGGAATTTTACTCGCCTCGTTGTTCTCTCCGTACAGGTTGCTAATGACGGAATCAATAAAGCGACGGGTTTCCATCACCTGCGAAAACGTCGCAACGGTGCTCTCATCCTGACGAAGGTGAACATTAAAGAAAAGGATAGGTACACTTCCACCTTCCCTTAAAGGCACCATAACCTCCGCAAAAAGACAACCCCTTCGAACAGACTGGCTGCCGCGCTTATTGCAGCCAAATGTATATGAGCCACATTGCTCAATGGGAAATCGTGAGGCGATAATGAGGCCGTTATCGGAGTGTACATTGTGTCGAAAAATCGTCGGGTACGAGGGTTGCTTTGATATAACATAATGTGTAAATCCACGTTCCTTCAACTCATCCACAAGGCGTTTCTGAAAACAGATATGTTTTTGCACAAAGTACGGCAATACACTGGCAGCATAGACCTCCTGAAACAACAAGACATCGTATTCATTGACACACTTTAGAAAATTGTCAATGCGTTCATTTTGGAACCCGCCACAGCCCCTGGGAAGAATGTTAAAGTTGTAGCTTAAAGCGCGTACCTGCATGCTGCCTGCTTCCATATTCGGAGTATCCTTTAAATAAACAGGGTTCACATGAGCACCGACAATAGAATCGGTTTTATCACCCCCCTGAAACGCATGGAAAGACATGGGAACTTGCAATTTACAAAAAAAGAAAAAAAAAAAAAAAGAAAAAAGAATTTAAAAAACTGCCCCCTTCAAAATATATAAATATATATTTTCTTCTATTTCTTTTCTATCAGCCACCTAATTCCGTATTTCTCCCTCCCCCCTCCCCTTAAATGTGGGTGAGAACAACAGCAACAACAGCAACAACCAACAGAATAATAAAAAAAATGGAAAAGAAATGATGAGTGGGATTGTAATGACTGGACGCATCTAATGTTATGTATACGTACCGAATTGATTTTAAATGAGAACAGGCCTCTCTTCTTCTTCTTCTTCATTGCGGTTGTGCGCACTGTGCGCAAAGCAACAATCAGGCAGAGTACAAGAAACTGGTTACAGGGAGGATTCAAAACGATATCTACCGGTGTGGACACAAAGACGAAGCCGGAATAAGAATACACACACACACAAACAATTAAAAAGCACACACACACAAAAAAAAAAAGAAAAAAAGCAAACAAAATTGCATCCCCCACCCCCTCTCTCTCTCTCTCTCTCCCGTTTCATTAAAAAACTTTTCTTCTCTTTTCGTCTTCATTCTGTTTTTCGTAAAGTACATGCCTTCTAAATGGTGTCAGGCTGGTCCTCTCGCGGTGCCGAGCGCACCGGACGCATGGGGTGTGGGGCCAAACGGTCGTGTTGTTCAATATGCTGCTCCACCACTTGGAATTGATGGATGTAGTACGACACTAAGTGCATGTAGCCAAACCACGCGATGCACCCACCAATGGCAGATGATATCAGGCTCAGAGCAAAGACAATATCATCGACGGGATTGCGCCATTTCACCTTGGACAACACCATCGATAGTTGAATGATAAAGATGGGAAAAGACCACGTAAAAAACACCAACGCCATGCCAAACAAAAATCGTCTCTGGCGCTGGCTGTAGGAAAGCCCGTACTTGTATGCATACACAAATAGTGGTGCCGCACCCACCACATAAATAACAGCGCCAATGACGCTAAAAGAAAATTGGGCAGCACGCAACGGTTCTCTGAAGGCGTCAGGTAAAAGAACTCGTGCCCACACCAAATCTTCCGCGATGGCTATAAGACAACATATGAGGTGCCACAAGAGGCATGTCAGGGGGACAGAAATCCCAAAGACGTACATGCTAGAGCTAAAACTCCCTCTCTTCTTCACACACACACACAAGAAGTCAAGAAGAAAAGAAGAGAAGAAAAAGACCACAGTTCTCAATCAAACCAGTGGAAAGATACGGAGGGGTTTATTTCAAAAATTCTCTATACGCAGAAATAAATGTGATATTCTCAAGATATGAGCACCGTCTTTTATTGTTTTGTATTGCCATGTTGTCTTGTCCTCCCTTTTCCTTACTGCTCTTGGCTTTCACCGCTCTTCCAAACGTGACGACATTTTGGATTTGCGCAGGCAAAGTAGAGAGTCATGTCTTCATGAGGCTGACCGAGGGGATTCACGAAGCACGTCACGTCATTCTCACCGCAGCGGCGGCATCGCTTCGTGGGGTCACGTTGGGCGGTGGGGTCGTTCGCAAATTCCGCTAACAACTCCAGTTCCTCCGTTGTCCCCGTCTTTAACTTGAGGTTTAGAATATACACAAGTTTATTCTCGTCATGCACCTCAGTTGTCCTGCAGTAGTTGCATCGCCACCTCATCTGCCTATCCAAAGGGTCGTTTTCCGGATAGAGGAGGTTGTTGCACCGCTCGCAAAAGAGCATGGGCGCATCATCCAAGTGTGTCAGAGACAACTGCATGTTCTGCCCTGTTGATTTTCCTTTTTCCCTGTAGGAAGCAACAGAAAACAGACAAACAAACAAAATGTAAAGTGAGGGAGCAGATTGCATCCGTTGTTCCATTCCCTCCGGGAATTCTGCAGAGACCCAAGAGAGAAAACCACAACGACGATAGAAGCAAAAAGTAATCAAAGGGACATCTCATTTTGTAGCGTCTTTCCAAAAGGCAATCCTAATATACGCGGGAAAGAAGCATATATATATATATATATATATATATATATATGTGGAAAGCTAGAATCAAAAAAAAAAAAAAAAAAAAAAAGAAAAAGAGGGTGCAAATGGGGTAAAAGCCCCGTAGTAGCCGCCATCTCTCAACGAATTCACACATGTCATCCCTCCCATTATCTTTCTTTTTCTTGGCATTCTAGTCCTTGCGACCATTGATGAGACGAGTGGTCATTTTGTCCCTCGTCACAATAGCTGCCACAGCACCATAACCGGAAAGGGAGTCCCTGTCACAGGCAGACAGCATTGCCTGTGCAGCAACTTCAAACAATTCCTCGGATCCCAATCCGGGGCGCCACAGGGCCTCACACATGCCATGCAGACTCTCCGCGCAGGTGCCAGCACACACGTAGTCCTCTGGTTCGCACGGAGCGCCAATGAGATCCATGGCACAGAGGTACACCTCGCCTGTCTTCTTGTCGATGCTTGCAATCACCGGCTCCACGAACCAGGGGCCAAAACGGGCCTCGTACAACATGGATGATATTAGCGCCGCAAACGCCTTACCGCCAATCTCACGTTCCTCACGTAGTTTGTATAGTTCATTACGGAAACGAACTTTCTCGGAAAACGTTTGCTGATCGGTGCGAAGCCCAGTGAGACCCAACACAATACTTTCATTAATCACGTGGAGTTTTGGCACTTCCATGGAGATCGTCTTCAACTGCTCGCCAAGGCGGTTGTCGGAGACGATGACAAAACAGCCATCGCCTGCCATTGCCAGGCAGGAGCCGCCGCTGTACGTCAAGATGGACATAAGAAAAGCCTTCTTTTCAATGCACTTACAATAATAATAATAATAGTAATAGTACTAATAGTAATAAAAGTACCCGTGGCTGTATAACTGGTGAGCGTAACTAAAGGACACGCACACACAGAGAGTCACGGAAAGCAAGCAAAAACAAGAACAAGAAATGGCCAAAAAAAAAAAAAAAAAAAAAAAAAGATTAAACCTTTTTTTTTTTTGCCCGCAGGCAGGAAGGCTTCAAACAAGAAGAGGCAAAACAACAACAAAAGGTGTGTTCTCAACCAGAAGGCAATCCACGATGCAGGAGGCACCTCACGCAGAGTTCTCCCTAGACTCTTCGTTGCTGCGGTACTTGTCGCCGGCCTTCACCAACACAGGGTGCGTGAACCCCTCGAGCTTCCCGTCCTCAGAGTAGATGGGCACAAAGTCATGACCATATTTCACCACCTCACCACGAGTCTTGCTGAGATAAATGGCGGCCGTGTAGATTGCCATGACGAACGCCCCGGGCAGATACACCCGCCACGTAGTTTTGTACGGCTGCTTCATTCTTCACACCCTTCTTGCAGTGGATCCTGTGCAAAATGCAAGGGAGGCCACACGCATGTATTCATGTGTCGAGAGAACATCAAAACAAAAACAACAATAAAACAACAACAACAACAAAAAAAGGCGGAAATAGAAAAAAGATGAAAGAAAAGAAAAACTGTTGCGTGAGAAGATGAGGTAAAAAATCCCCGTAAAAAAGATGGAAAACGTTCCTACTCAAAGGGAACATTCACGCAAAACACACATATCATTCATTTTTTTTTCTATTTGTGCGCATGTAGACATGCATGAGAAAAGAGCGAGAGTCACGCAAGCAGTCAGTCTGTGGTGATGATAACTCCTCTTTCCCTCCCCCCCACACACAAAAGTGACAAGGACGTCGGTAAATACCACAGAAACTCGTTTCTCTGTACTCATCGATTTTTTTTTTCCATGTCTGTGCTTGTTAATTTACTCCTGCGTTTCATTCAATCGGGCCCCATGCTCCTCTCTACACACCCAATCAAACAGACACACATTATTTACTGCCCTTACTCCTGCTTGCTTTGTCCCTTGACTGTATCAAAAAGCTGCAGCAAAGGATGAATCGAAGCGTCCCGCTGCTCGCCAGACGGAATAAGTCGAGTATGATGTCGTGCTTCAAAGGCGTCATAAAACGTCGTGAAGGCATGAAGGCAATGCACGCAACACATGACGAGCGATCGTCGTATGGCATTCTCCGATAACAACAACTCCTCCTCCAAGCACAACTTAAATGTACGGAATGTTTGACGCAACTTTCCATAACGCTCAGCCACCTGGCGAAAGAGCACGGGATTTTGAGCCGCCTGACTGCTCTTGGGAGCCCCTTTGGCCCCAGTGATGAGAGGCTCGTTGAGCACGACTGTCTTGGCGCACTCCAGCATTGACCGCAGGTACCAGAACTGTGTTTCCATGTTGAGTTCACTCGTTCTTATCGCGTCCACCAGTGTCTTCAGAATAGGGCCAAATATCTGACCTTGCAGTACACTTGCAACGTTCATGAACTCCGCTATGGCCCCTTTAATTTTTTCATCTTCAGTGGAAGATTCGGAAAGCAGTTGTTGTTGCTCCTCCGAGGCATCTGTGGCCCAGCTCGCGCAGCCATACATCAGCAGCTTCCCACTAGAGTTTACGCAAAATTCTACGGCGGCATCGAAGGCCTCGACATTCTCGAGCAGTGCGTCGCGAAGAAACGTGGCGGCGACTCTTGCGCGTTCTAATGCCCTCCCGCCTTTGACTGGGAAAACATGTACTTCACTTTGAAAGAATCAGGCAGTCGTGCTGCGTGCGTATCCATAAACACCACATCCTCAGAAAGTGAATCCTCTTTTAGGGTTAACTTGGGGGCGCTCCAACCAAACCAAGACGCCTCTCTGGGTCTCAGTGCATTCAGGAGATTAGACTCGTTTAACTGTCGCCGCCGCACTAGTTCCTCCAGTGTATCAAAAAAGTTTCCAACACTCTTCTTGCTCAGCTCATAGAGAAAAAAAAGCAATGGAAGGTAAGCAAAGAGCGCCTCCGCGTGGGTCTCAACAAAGTCAAGCAAGCCTCGTGCAGTTTGAACATTGGGCTCACTGCAAGCCGGTACTAAGAGATGCGGAAAGCTCACGCGCAGCGCACGAAGAAGAATCCCCAGCTGTCTCGGTGTTCGTTCCAGGGTGTACTTCCGGTGAGAGAAACTGGAGACAAAACGGAGCCACACACCCTTCGCAGGGACGAGGTCGTCAGAAACGGCTCGAGAGGACACTCCACTTTTCCATGAGACCTGCATGCAACAGGTGGAGCCGGCACGCAGCACCTCGGCGCCTGACGGCATCGCGGGTGGATGCGGATCCCAAAAACGGCGCAGCGTCTCAAATGTGGCAAACATCATGGACAGACGTGGACGCACCACGACGGACTCGTCAATTTCAAGAAACCCCTGAACGGGCGCGAGGACATCAGTGTGCGGAGCAAACCGGTAAAGTTCTTCCGGAGTCCACCCGCCGTACACAACTGAGCAGCTGTTAAACTCAACGGCCACACATGTCATGTGGAACTATTGCCCCCCTCTCTCTTTGAGGACTATGAGGGAGAGATAAGTGCACAGAAGCATAATTCTCAGTGTTTTTGTATGCGTGTGTGTGTGCGTGTGTGACGCCACCTCCACAGAGCACCTTCAAATAGGCCAGCACGTACACACAGAATAAAAATTTTACCAAATGAAATCACCGCCCCGGCCCTTCAATAACGCCCCACCGCAGTCAAATACACAGACACACACGCACACAGATATCATAGGCACCTACTCCCCATAGGTGAGGACCAAAAACAATCCCCACAAATAGAGAGAACACACGACAACAAGTGATCCCCCCCTCCATACATACACACACAAATAAAAAAAAAATAAATAAATAAAAAACAACAACAACAACAACAACAACAACAAAAACAAGTCACTTAAGCCCTTCGAGGAAGCTGTAGCTACTCGATCGGGTGTAAACCCCAGTGAATTTGCCCAATGTAAAGACCTGACCGGGAGAAAAAAAGCCTGACGTTGGGCAGTACTTCCCCATACAACGTTGCAACACCGAGGGTGCAAAAATGATCGTGGAATTCCCAAGTGTCATTTTGACTTCAGGACGTGCCGCAACGTTCATGCCACCATGTGAAAAGTGAAATCCGGCAACCGAAGATGCCACAATGTTTTTCCTTGCTTCCCGAGCAACAGTAATGTCCTTCAAAACATGCGTAATCGATATTTTTTTTTGCATGCCAATAAGAAGAGCAGCGGAAGCCTCGGAGTCCAGCTCCACATCATCCACCAAAAGCTCAATGGTGTCTCCGGAGTGAACTTCGACGCCCTCTGGGAGTGAAAACTGCAGCGTCCCGTTATCCGGATAACCAACAAAAGAAAATGGAATACAAACGCCCTCATGCTGAATACCAAGAAACACCTTCGATGTTTTTCCCTGCAATTCGCGAGAGCAGTAAACATCCCGGATGACGTCTGTCGCTCTCCTTTCATTGAGTGTCATAATGCTGAACACACCATCTGAAGAACTAACAGATGTTACCTTCGCCCTTTCCGTGCTGATAGAGGGCACAACCTCCACGTGGTGTCCTTTAATCATCGCACTACGGAGAATCATGCATGCTGCGCTCCCTGTGTACACGCGATCATTGAGAAAAAAGATGGAGTCTCCCATTTCACTCAACGGGGAATCAATCTTCTTTTCACAGTCGTCCCCTTCGTCGACATACTCATTTTTTTTGCTTGCTTTTGTTTGTTTGCTGTTGCTGCCTTTCTGATATGGTGGGAAAATGCCGCCAACGACTGGCGAACCCCCAAATCGGCCACCGAGGAGTTGAAGACGTCCTGAAAGCACGCGTTCGTACTGTAGCGCCAGTTTGTTGTCTAGAAAAGCAAAACAAATGGCAGGTGGCGGTCTTTTGGCGTCCTGAATATCATCCTCCTCGGGAATCGCGTCAAATGTAAAGACATCACTCTGAAGATCGGGGATGCAGCCAAGTAACACTTGAATGTACCCTCCCCCTGGTCGCTGGTACCGCGTGGCCCCTCCTATCATGTGGAGTTGCTGTGGCTTTACGGAGGAGGTTGTAACGTCGTTGGCCTTACACAGGTTGAACCACACCACCTCAGGGGCGTCAATCATCGCCTCGTAGTCCAGCGAGAGGCTCATGAAGCAGAAGTTAGGAGGACGAGGCAGGGCTGCAGCAGCCACGTCAAACGCCTCCGCGGCGGCTATTCGAGCCCGGTGATCGGCGCTTGCGGCGCATGCAAACACAACCGATCTAGAGTCCACTGCGAGTTCTGCCTCGCGCTGACGCCGTTCATACGCGGCAATTGCGTCTCGAATACCCTCGGGCGTATCGACGGTGTCGCCAAAGAAGCGGTTCGTAAAACTCCCAAGCGAACAGACGGAAACACGCCTCCCAGCAACACGACGCATTGAAAAGTCTTACTTTCCTTTCCCTCCGTCTATGCGTGCCCGACTTTTGACCTTTCCAGTTGTGTTGTATTGATGTACCTTTCTCTCCCCTAAAGGGATGGATCCGCGGCACCCAAAAGGAAGTAAAAAAAAAAAAAAAGGGGGGGAGGGGAGGGAAAGCCCACATAAAATACACGACATCACACCCCACCCCCGAGGAGAGTTACGGCGAAAAAAGAACAACACGCCGTACTCAACAGTACCTCCCTGCCCTCCCAAGAGAGAAAAAAAAAAAAAAAGCAACACGCAAGTACGACGTGGTGCGGACTCGACTCCCAGATGAGCATCTCTTTCTTCCCTTCCCCATTTTTGTTGGGGAATTGGAATAGTGGGCTTTCAAGTTAACTATACATTCAAAAAAAGTAAAAGCGCACCTTTCAACGAAGGACCTGCTGTTTCGTTACATCAGAAACGTACTTGTTTCCCTCCACCACGGTATTGTAGGCGCCTGCCCCACGTTTCGCTCGTTTTGCTGCCTCCACCACGTTCGGAGCACGACTCATGAGCAAAAGTGTGTTGGGCCCCTGCATCACGGCATCGCTAACACTAAGTTCCTCAAGGTACTGCTTAAGTAGCACCTGCAGCTTCTTGTTCTCCTCCTCCAGATGGTACTTCTCCTGTGAGAGGGCGGCATTATCAAGCACCACCTTGTTGTGTTTCGTCCAAAATCTTTCCAGCAACCGCCACTCCTCTGAGAACGCCGCTCCATCAGGTGCTGCCGACTCGTCCTGCGCTTCCGCGGCGTCTGAGTTCGCCATCAACCGCTTAACCTCCTGCTCAATTTCACTGGTGGCAATGTTGGACTCAAACGACAACACCTGTTCACGCTCTGTCTCCAATGGTTTGCCAAGCTCGACCAGACACAAAATTTTTTCAGCTCTGCGCACCGTGTCACGCAGTTGATATTCACAATCCTTTGCATTTTTGATAAATTCAGCGAGTCGAGAGGCTTCCTTGCTACGCCAACTTTCCATCTTGGACTTGAGGGCCTTGAGGTGTCGAATGGTGGCATCCCGCTCCTGCTGAATGGCGT